ATTGACTTGGCAAGAGTAGTGTGAGGTGACATACATATCCCTGCATTATTCCAACTTTCCTAAGGATCCAACCCAAGTTATCCTGTAAAAAACTGTATAAACCCAAACTTGAAGAATTGTTGCAAAGCCAGTTATTTTTGTTGAGCATAGTTTTGGAGTAAGTAATGAGCTCAGCGCTTCTCCAGTTTGAAGATTTCAATATTTTGAGGTCCTAGTGAAAAGAACAGGCTTAACTACTATCCCTTATCAAAAGAGCCCTGAGAAGCAGGGTTTATTAGGCTAGGCACAACAACATTTTAATGCAAATAGTATCTGAATTGAAGAAGACTTAATTCTGGTGGCTGAGATTAAATTAATGTATCTCCACTTATACCATTCCTGAGCAAGATACCTCTAGCAACCTGAAAAAGGTGACTCAGATATTTGCAGTGCTGTGTTCAGTTTTTCAGATCAGCAAGACAGCCCCTGTTTTGCAGAACTGTCAGTGTCCAATTTGTTTTGTTCTCAAAAATTTTAACAATCAACAAAGAAAAAAAAAAAGGAAAAACTCCATGTCAAAATGAAAATTTGGCTTCTCATACAGAGAAATATCTGGCACCTGACTGATGCACTGGAATTTGGAGTGCTTCAGTCTCCCCATGAACACAATGCCTATTTGACGTCCAACAGAAGAAAGAATACAGTACTCACTGGCATATTTTAATCTTTTTGTAACCGCATGAATGTACATGAGCCTGCTAAAGCAGATTTAGTGGTTTGAGGTTTTTTCATCATAAGATGCTTTCTAGAATACATGTTGAGTATTTATGCTTTTGACTCCCAGTTGTTGAACGTTTTCCAGCAACTTTAGTTAAAAGAGTAAAGAGAGAGACTGCAATAAAGTGTATTTAAAGAGTAACTGACTTAGATATTTTCTCAAAACTACACATTCCAGCAATAGTTTTTTCATTGCTTCCAGCCTATACAAGGACAAGTTTTTTCAGTTAGCTTCTGGCTACCATCCAGTCAGATGTTTAGGTGCTTGAATGAACTTGGAGAAATATTTTTACAGTGTGAAGAATCTGTGCTTAATCACTTGGGCAAAAATATCCTATTTTGATTCTTGGCTACAGTACTTGTCTAAAATTGCTTAGTCACGTGAAAGTACAATTTCACTAGCTAGCAGATATCCCTTTGAAATTTCACTTGCAACATACTTTAGCTCACCAGCTTTGACCCTCATGTAAGGTCATCTACTCTGCTGTTTAAATAAAAATACACACCATGATAACTCACAGTAGTTTCCAGTCATGCAGAAATGTGAGTGAACAAGTTATTGATTTTAGTGTCTGACATGACCTGCTTGTAATTAGGAAATCAATAACCTGGAATTCTTCCTCTCTTGCCACCACCTGCCTTTCCCCCAAATTCCAAAAATATCCCTGCATTCAATTAATGCTGATGCTGGATTCCCATCCCCATTTTGCAACACAAGCAATTCTCTACTACTTACATAATTTCATACCTTCTACTTTGGCCTCAAGGCCTGGATGGTGGTTGTGGAAAGAATTTATTAAGTAGCACAGAAATTAATGTTCAAAAGACACCATAAAACCTGACAATATAGCAGAATTTGGCTGATATTAAAATCATAACAGGTATATGAAGAAAATACTCAGCTGACAACATTAGTCAAACTATTGATGCCTCACCATTTCACTGAGTTGGCAAAGTAGCTGGAACATGTTCTGCTTCCATCCTGCCTAATCCCCTCTTGCTACATTACCATGTTGCTGGAATTCTTGGCAAAATGCTATTACTGAACTTTAGCATCACTGTACCTGATTGACAGTACCCAGTTAGTTTCTCACTAGGTACTACTGCTCGTTTTCGGTAGTTTTACAGAAGATTAGGGGACTTGAAAATATTTGAGATTGTTGCTGAAGAGTGAAACAGGGCATGCAGACAAACTAATGGAAGAAATCAAATATTTAAATCACATATGTAAAGGACTTCGGGCATCTTACATGGCATCTCAGAAAAGAGTCAATTATGGTTCACAGAAAGAATCTAATAATAACTAAAGTAGGCCAAATGCAAACACTGTCATCCTGCAAAAATCTGAAAGAAGCTATACAAATAGCAGTGAAGGAAGACAAATATGTGCGCTCCTAGCATGCATACCCCAGAGTACCCTTACTGAATCGCATTATGAGAATATGATCTACCAAGCTCGGGAAATTCTGAGTTCAGATACAGCTACATTTCACCTGAAAAGTCTGCCAAACCTAACGTACTTTGCACTCCAAAACTGCAACAAACTCATAAAAAATCATGGCAAGTACTTTTGTACTTACCTGATTCTTTATACTGGCTAAAAAAAGAACAATGCACAATGTTGCATAGTTTCCACTATGCTTAAAATGCAGAGGTGGCAACTAAAAGCAGCAGGAACAGTAATCAGAAGAGAATAATACTACTGGAAGCACAAAGCAAAAACCAAGCTTCAGCAAGTATACAAAAATAGTTTTCTTCCTTGCAGCTTCACGTACTGAGGGTTTTGAATGAATATTAAAGGTACTGACAAAATAGCAATGTATTCCAAGCAAGCACAAGAACCTTTAGTGAGACACATTAGGAGTTATTTAGTGGATGTTGAAAAATAGGGTTGTCAAAAGGATTTATCCTTTTTTTCTAGTGTAAGCTTTGTGAAAATAAACTTACATTCTTGGAGAGAATCTAGTTCTGGTACAACAGATGTAGAAGTTCATCCTTCATTTAAAGTACAATTCACTGCCTATAGTGTTTTAAGCATTGTATACATTACCACATTGGTGTAAAAGAATAGGAATTTGCTTTCCTGAAAGAAGTCAACATATTAACCTTCAAGAAATGCATTTTTACAATTCCATACTTTTCTGACAAAAAAAAAATCTATGACTCCAGGAATTGTTTTCAGTGGACTCAGCTGCTTTCAGTGGAAGACTTCCCAAAAATATCTTTCAGGGGTTAAAGTTTGTTTACATCTTATCTGGCTTTCACTATCATGCTCTCACTATCCGCCCAGGCAGTGGTGCTCTCCCTCACTCTTCAGGGGACATTCCAGGGCTTAAACACACTGTTTTTCAGAACTCTAAGCTTTATGCACTGAGGGCTTGTAATTTAGCATACATGGTGCATGCATTGCCCATCGTGAAGGTTTCCATGATGTTTCTTGGAAAAGAACTTAAATATTCTCATGGAGTTAGTGGGATAAGCTGGATCAATTCAGTGATATAATTTATGACAGAAGTCTACCACAGCATTTTTGAAGAACAGCTAATACAGAAACTTGGGAATGGAAATGAGGTGCCATTTTAAGAGCTAGAAAGTGATGCAAGAATTTCAAGTGGGAAAAAAGTGTACAGAGTCATAGCTGCTCTCCTCACAACCCAGGCAAAACCAGGAAAACAGTCTCCCTTGTTTGCTTCTTACTTTGCACTAATCTTCAGAGTCCACAGAGCAATACAGAATACTTCTCTTCCAATGCCTGTTTTGTTCTGCTGGATTTATTTCCTCTGATCTTCTCATCAGCAATACTGTGGCTACCCTATGTAGTCCTGCTGCAAATTACCCCTTTCCTTCTCCTCTCTATATTTTCATATAGTTAAGAGAATTTACTTGGCATATCAGAAATCATTAGCATTTTAAAATAAAAGCACATCTGTTATCTTATAGGCTTATTAGTTACTCCTGCCTACCAAGTAGTAGAAATACTCAGCTTGCTCTGCTTCTGCCTTTTAATGCTTTTCCACGATGACTGAAAATACAAAGTTTAATTATCCTAGACTGGGAAATCATAGCTGCACTACAGCCTTACTATAAACTGAGTAAGACAGCAATCTCATTAAACTGTATACCCCAGACCTCAAGCTATGCTATATTATAATCCTAGGACGAGATTTGCGTTTTCTTTTTCCTTTTTTTTTTTTTTTTAAATGAACTTTGATAATGCTCAGTTTCTCACTTCTGTATCGTAACACAAACCTCGCAGTAGTCAACATAAGTCCCAATCTGATTGCTGTAAACATTTCAAAGTATACCATACCACAGTCCCTCCCTTCTGTCCCACCACCTTCTCACACTTACATTTGACTGACGCTTTCCAACATGTGGGAACATTCTCATGTTTCAGTGAAAATCTTGCCTACGCCACATGCTTTGGTCCTCTTTTGTATTTATTTAATTGGTTGCCATTTAACATGGAATAATTAACACATGACGACAAATGCAAATCTACCCCCTTTGCAATCATTTCTTTCAAGACACAAACGGCTGTGCCTCATCCTGGCTTGCTTACATCAAGAAAGACTAGAAACAACTATTTGTTTCCTGGAATAAATTTTTAGGGAAGGTGTAAATTTGCAATCACTGCCATTAATTAGATCAAGCTAATTGCCAATTAGCTCCATTTAAAAAGGAAACAAATGTTTACTCTAAGCAAATTCTGGTTTGGGTATGTGTGTGCTTAAAAAATGGAGTTAACTTCTGTGAATGCATTTCATCAAGTAGAAGGAGAATAAGCATCACTTAGAGAACTAAACTAGGACAGAAAAAAAGGCATATTAGAAGCATCAGTTTTTCTTTTGAGGGTGTACATGGCTGTTTCTTCCACTGTTTTAACACCCTATAATAATGATGGAGGGCTGTCACTTTGGGCCCTACAGAAGTGAGCTCTGAAGCACTGCTTTCAAGGAGGAAAGTGTCAGTGAAGTTGAAATAAATTTGTATTTCTCTCAACAGTAAAGCCAGTTTAAGCATCCCCTGTGTCCTTACCCCATGCTCTTCTCTCTGGTGCTACACCACAGCTGGTGTGGCTGTGTGGTACATAAAATCAGGGCAGCGATCCCCATTTAGGAAAGCTGCTTAAAAACAACAATAACCCCTATAGGTATCCTAGCAAAGGAAGGACCTAGACAGAGAGAGTAGAATACATTATAAATTTTCTTTTCTCCCTAAAGAAAGATCTTAGAAAGCCTTACCATGAGGGAGGCTTCAGTCTGTGCCATGGCTATGCAGACCCACAGGCAGGACCCACATCAGGGAGCCAGCGAGAGGGCCCTGGTATGCAGCTGTACAAAGTGCAGTAGCAGCAGTCAGAGCCATCCAGGAGCAGGAAGGAGAAGCAAGCTGCACTTCAGCATCCCCTGTTTCTGCCTTTTCCAGCTGAACTGCAGTGACAGAGCACAGAGCTGTCTGTCAACAGAAGGAGATATTTTTTTTCCTGGTTGCATAAGGAAGCAGTCAGACCTTGCTGTTCTCATAATTTGTCTCTAGCTCTGCTGACTAAGATGTACAAGTCAGGAGCTAACATCTTTTTTTGTCAATTTTCCAGTCATTTTTCATAGGTGATGTAAACCACATCGAAGTTATTCATTCTCTGTTCACTGTGGTGAGCTGTGAGACTGCAACAGAGCTCGTTCCATCTCGTGTAGCCAGTTTCAAATACGTGCTATGTAAAAGTATTAGCTGATAGTATTTATTTGATGTCTTCATGTAGCAACAGCAGGTTATACCATCCTACTACATAATTACTAACAGCCCTGAGGATTCTTCAGTCGTTAATGACACAGAATATTTGGGTACTGCAGCAGTGTTGCTTGAATGACTCTTTCTTTAAAAGCTGCATTATAGCAAAAATTTCTTTCAATTTACATTACCACCGATGGTCTCTCTTCAGCCTTTACACAGAATTCCAATTAATGTCAAAGAGGAATAATCACACATTAAATGGATGGAGAATATACCCCTTAAAATTTAACACATACATGAGATATTCTTATTAACTATAGCCTTATTTAATTTTAATGCTATAACATCAACTATAATTTGGATAAGGAGTTTCTGATTTCCACCCCCACCCCCTCACCCCGCCCAAAGAAAATGCAGCACTGCTGCTCATGCTAACATAGCCTTTCTGGGCTCATAAATGGTACTGAAGGCTGTAGAGAAAATGATGCCCCAAACTCCCATGGCCCAAATTCCCCAAACAACTGAAAAAACCCTCTCAAAGTGTCTCTAAACCCACACATGATATTGAACTTCTGAAGTGAAATTAGTTGCCAGGAAAGCTGACAGGATATAATCTAAACCAACAAAATGCTGCACCTAGGTAATGAACTAGTTAATCAGAAATTGAGGTGGAGGATTCACTGTCCATAAAGAAGGAGAAGGACTGAGCAGAACAGAAGCAAGAATACTGATAAATCAGTAGAAAAGCTTCATAAAAGATTTTGGGTTTTTTTACTGTAACGGGATGAGTAGGAAAAAAGAGACAACAGCATAAGTGATATATGAAAGCATGATGGCAATATAGCTTCCAAGCAGTAAAACGAGGTGTAATTTGACTCAGACAGTTTACGTTACATCTTTTCAGTTGATGGCAAAAAAACCCTCAAAACAACCCACTGCATCCAAAAATGCACTACTTCCCTGGAGCATTGCTGAGATATGTCTAAGTTTAAGATCAAAGCCCTCCAAAGTTTCACCTTCATATAACTGCATATTGCACCAACTTAACTGTCTTGCCTCTGTCGAGGGTTTTGGCAGTTTTCTTAGAGACACATTGAAGGACTACATGCAAAAATCTCAGCACTGAAGAATGTTGTCAAGGGTCATTGATTTATACCAGGGAGAAACGAAAGCAAAACAGAAAACCTGCCACAGCCATTGCCTGTCTTGTTCTCTTATCTGCATTTGGCCTTCAAACAAAATTCATTCACTCCTCAAGAGTACTTCTAGTACAGAAACTGTGATAGTGGGATGAAGTACAGCATCCAAGAGTTATTTTTAAGTGCTTACTTGAACTCTTCTAAATCTAGTACATGCTGCTTGAGTGTTTCTTTTTTTTTTTTTATGTGGTTTCCAAGTTAAAATGCTGTAAAAGCATAAAGAGTAACCTATGTAGGCTGCAAAAGTATGGAGAAAGTACAGCTTGGAGAGGACTGTACCAGTTTCTAGAAACACGGAGTGCTTAAAAAAAAATGCAACAAACCTTACTCGTGTTGCTTTTAGAAGCATCAGCTTTTCAGTGAGCAGACGGAAGTGTTTAGTGAAATCTAGTCCTTGTAGGAAGAACTTGCTGGCCACTTCAGTTTTGTTAGATTCAACATCAGCAAGCAGTGACTCAGTCAAGGACTATTGCAGCTAGAAAAAAAGAAGAAGGGTGTCTGCTAAAGGTGAAAGAGATGCTTGGTGTATGAACAGTCTTGGTATATGAACAGTCAGTATTTCATGATCATAGGTGTAACTTAAAAGCATAAAACCCCACAGAAAATACTTGGAAAAGGACTTGGGAAAAGAAGCATCAGGGAAACAATGCAGAAACATTAAGTGATTCTTGTATAGCAGACCTAGCCCTACTCAGTACTAGTAAGTGCTCATTTCTAGGGCACATTCCGCACCCTCTGTCACACAGTCAGTCTGACACGAACAAGCAGTAATCCTGTATATGTCATAAAGAGAGCTTCATGTCATTATCTACACCCATGGGATAAATCTGAAGATGGGTAGTGCAAGAGGGGTATTGGCACACACAGCAACGGCAACCATTAGTAACAGAGGAAAAAGAAAGCGTCAACATATCCTCATTCATAAATTCCAACTATAAAAGGACCTTTCAGTAATGTCAGGAATACTCAGGAAGCCCAGACATTACTGTGAAAGGTTACACAAATCATGCTTCTTCAAAATGAGGAGAAAGAAAGTATTGACAGGGATTCCCAAATGCATTGTAAAAGAGTGGTATGATTAATGATACAGCAGAAATGGGTATTAAAGTAAGCAATTTGTCAGAAGTATAAGGATTCCCAGAGAAAAAAGTGCCAATCTTATCATCTCAGCTACTCACAAGTGACATTGGCCAGAGTGAAAATGGAAAGCTTTTGGTTGAGGAAATTGTGAGCATATGATTTACAGTGGACTGTGTTACTGTTCTTCCAGTAGGCACTGTGCCCATTGCTGTACCATGGCAATGCATGATGAGCACCAGCTCAGGAAAAGCAAATTCCTGCCATGTACTTGCATTACTGACTTTCATCCTGAGATCTCTAGCCAGCCTTCTTCTAGTTCGTGAGTTAAACGATTAAACAGACAGTACATAGGAAAGATTTTCCGTTAAAATTGGAAGGACATAAACCAAGTTTGCACAGAAGAGCCATACTTTGCACTATGCAGCAATTGTGATGGACACAATAAGCCCCCACTCACCTAACAGCTACAGTGGGAGAGAGAATGCTTAGGGGGATAAATAGGGAGCAAGAGATTACGAAAGCAGAAACAGCTGTAACATTGCAAATGCAAACAATCCTAAATACAGTATTTTGATATAGCAGAAATATAGCTACAGGACCTGAAGCAGTCAAGACTCATCTTCTACATACTCTGGTCACATAAGAAGGCAAAAGTATCATGAAAAACACAGGCATCCTCCCAGAATATCCCAGAACTGCATACACAGAGAAGATAATTTGCAAACTAATCACGTTATTGACTGAGATTGAACAACCTCACTCTAAATACCTTGCACACTTGCCTGCAAAAAAGCACAACAGGAAAAGTTGCAGATCCCTCCCCCCAGCTCTTGTTGGGCTGTGGTAAGCTTGTGTTTGAAGCAACATCGGTGGTTCAGACAGTTACTATGCTTGTTCAAGTTTTCAGCTAAATTTAATGGTGTTTAATTTTAGGCCTATTTAGATTCAGATCCAAAAGAAGGGAAATTATACAGCAGAGGTTCTGGCAGTCCATGCTGCCTGTACACTCAGCACATGGGCAGTGAGAATATTCTCTGATGCCCTCAATACTGGTAAGGATGTCTGTAAGTTTGCTTCTTATTTCTACATGTAGCTTTTGCTCTTTAGAGGTTTATTCTGAATTATTCTTGCTCATCTAGAACGTATTCAATGGCCACATCATGTGAAACACTTTGTAGCTGTTGGCATGCCACTGATACATTATGTATCCTCATAAAACCTGTCAAAAAAAGATGCAAGGAGAGGAGTCTAAAGCATTTGCTTGGCTAGACAGAAGAAAGAGTATTACATGCTTTGAAAGTACAGTGGTTGTGCAGTCTTTGCTGCCTTACATGGGTGCAGTTTTAGAATCAGAAATTCACCACCTGACATGGATACAAATGCTTATTTTGTATTTAAAGAATAAGAACAGAATACTATATATATATGTGTATATATGTTTAGACACACTAATCTATACGGATATATATAAGATACTGTGAAATGCATCTTCTGGAGCAGCTAATTCTGGAAAACCCCAGGCAGCTTGTACTGGGGAAATACGTCTGTTGGGACTGAAACCTACTTCACCATGCACTAGATTTAAAGGAGGGCCCAATTCTTTCCTGGCTGGATGTGAGCATCATCCACTGAGATCAATGTCATTACATGCATCTTGCAGAGCAAGAGTTTGTCTGTTTGTATGCGATTTGAGAATACTTGCAAAAAAACACTAACAGCAGCTGAGAGCTCCCAGTTACTCTCTGAAGACTAGGCTGTCTGCCAAGAGAACAGCACATTAGACAGACACATCAATAACTCCCATCATCTATCCATCAAAAAAAGGAGATTCCATTTACCTTAAAATGCATCATATGTGGATTTTACCATGCTGAAAAGGGCAACACTTGTAAGTCTCTGAACTATCATTATATAACAGGATTGGTTCCCCTCAGTGCTGCTCAGATGCAGCTACTGCCTCAAGGAATTTATATTAATTCAGCAAATTCCATCCCATCCTTGACAGGAGTGGGCTATTTAATCATAAATTGGCCAAACTCTATGGCTATAACTGATCAAATGAGGTGTGCCCATACATAATGTTTAACCAGAAAATTTAACTAAAGAAATAAAATTTGAACATCAGCCAATAAAAGTGGATGGAGAAGTGGCAGCAATAGTCTCAGCAGCATAGCTATTCCCAGCACTGGCTGCAGGACAAGCGTTTCAGAATGTAAAATTAGGTGAATAAAATTCCAAGCTGGTGATTTCAATATACCTTTTAGAAGGTGAAATTTAAGCTGAATGCTGTTGAACATGCTATTTAAATGTCATTTGTTCTTTTGCCTCTCAGTATTTCACAGTTCTTACATAATGTTCTCATCTGAGAAACGAGCCAGCTATGTTCTGTGTTATATTTTGCCTCTTACTGGGTCATTTTGGCTAACATTGTGTTTTCAGCTGATTGCCTGTGCTTCTCTCGCTGAAGAAGGCAAACAATTGTTGCCTATGTCCGAAAACCATTTTGATTG